CTGCACCGGTCCTACAACAAGCCGTGGACAGTTGACCTTCAAATGTCCAACCTGATGACAATGATAGCATATCCTCAAATCCCGAACCGCACTGACTGCCGACAATCCCTCCCATAGTGTCCCTCCTTTCCGCACTTGTGGCATGCTCCACCGGACCGACAAACCTCGGCATGACCCCTTCCACACTTTCCACAGACGTGGCTACCATGATCTCCTATCCTGGAATCAACAGTCTTAGACCGTTTCGTCGCCGGCTGCGACTGAACCGGAGCTTGCCTCAGCTCACGCATCTGTAACTCAATCTCTAACTCACGCCGTCTGACGGCCTCCTGCAACTCCAGTAAAGTCTCGCACCTTTGCGCAGACACAAAGTGTCTGATGTCCCTCTTTAGCATACTCTGATATTGGGACATCTGAGCCTGCTCCGAAGCGAACTCAGGGCAAAACATCGCCCGCTCGGTAAACATCCTGGTGATTTCGGTCACCGACTCCGAATCCTGTTTCAGCTCCAAGAACTCCTGAGCCAACCTCTCCCTCTCGACCTGCGGAACATAACGAGTGCTGAACATCTCTCTGAACCAATCCCATGAAATCGCAGCCCTCTGCGCATCCGAGTACGACCCCGTGGTCAATCTCCACTAGTCCTTTGCTCCGAGCCTCAACAGGTTCAGAGAACACCTCACCCTCTGATCAGCAGGGCATGAACACGTGAAGAAACATCCCTCCACATCTGATAACCACCTCATAGCAACGATCGGATCCTGAACTCCATCGAAAGTGGGAGGCTTCGTATTATCGAAGTCCCGATACTGAAAACCTCTACTGGCTCCTCCCCCTACCGCTGCTACTGCTGCGGTAGCCACCGCGGAAGCCGTCTCCGTGAGAGCCGCATAGCGCTCATCAAAATAATCCACCATGGCGGTCTTGATCGACCCAAACAACTCCGGCAACTCAGCCCGAAACAATGCAGCAACCTCATCATGCAAGATCTCACGAATCCTCGCATCCAACCTCGGGTTGTACAGACCCACCCGGAACTCCCTCTCCTGCTCCTGATCCTGACCCGGATCCACTCCCAGCGTGCCTTGAAATCTCCATACTGAAAATAAAACACCAAATCTCAGACATATTCCACTATCCCGGGAACCAGCTCTCATCCCAACCCTAGAGGTCATGGTTTCCCTGATACGCGTATGAGTCTGTGCTTTCAGTAGTACGGGCCCATACTACCTTCCACACCAACCCATATTTGTATGAAGTACTCCCACAACACCCTAGCGACATACATAACAACGCTCTATCCTCACAACTAGAGGAACACTAGAAATCTCTCACAAGGAACCCTAGGCTAGCAGGCATCATAAATCAGGCAACTCATCAATAAATCCTGAAGATCCCTAGCCTAACTCTAGCATGCTGTTCTATCAAATATCAATAAAACAATTGTCATGTATGGTATTTTGGGGCTACTTACTGGCTCCGGCTGATCGTACCTCCGCGTCCTCCTATACTTATTTTGAAAACCATTTTTAAATTCTCTTTTGAAAACCCTCCTCGATTTGAGATTGGAGTCACACAAGTGTTCCTCCAATTCACTAAAACCAAGGCTCTGATACCAACTTGTAACATCCGAAAAATACAACCGATTTAAATTTTTTCAAAACAACCCGATTTTCATTAAAATGTTTACAAAAAGGTTTTCAATACAAATCATTAGAGTATTCCCAGAATCACATTGCTACAAAATCACGACGAGCGGTACGATCGCGCCTTCGCCTTGCCACAGTCTCCTGAAGAACCTGAAAAACATTAAACCACAACTGTAATCCCGAAAGCTTAGTGATATACCCCCAAAATACCAACCACGCATATGCCCTTCCAGGCTGCGACCTTCCGGTCCACAACATATAGAACATACATAACAGAACATAGAACAGCCATGCATATCGGGTCTACTGTGTGACTGGTCCGCCGTATCGGGCCTTCAGTCCATCGGATCCATCCTCCAGGTCTAGTCATGTCCTTCGAGTCTACAGTGGGGTTGGTCCGCCCGCATCGGGCCTTCAACCCACCTGGTCCACTTTCTGAGTCTACAGTGTGACTCGTCCGCCCGCATCGGGCCTTCAGTCGGCCTGGTCCACTCTCCTAGCCTCGGCACGTCTGGTCCGCCCTCGTGGGGCCTACAGCCTATCCGGACCGCTCGCTGGGCCTTCGAAACAACCGGTCCGCCCTGGGTATCTTGGCCTACAGCAAAAAGCAGGACCCGCCTCAACCCATCTCCAGTCTACCAACCATGTGCACAAAACATACATTCATATAACAGTCATAGTCAACAAACCGAGCAAGAAGATCACATAGCATATCATTACCCTAACTGAGTTACCAACCTAACCGGTCACTAGCATAGCATCACTCTGTATATGGGGAAACTGACCTTAGCAAGGCCTCCTAGGATGTACCATCCTAGCTACCAGGATGCAGACACATCAAACAATAACATAATAACCATAACCGAATCTCAATACAATAAAGGGCCGGCCTTGGTGCCTTAGACCCTGTTGATATAGTGAGGATAACTCACCTCGAAACTGACGGCTGAAAAGATAAGATCCCGCTGCTCCGAACTCGGACACGAACTCCTCCACTGAACATCAAAACATACAACTCAATAAATACCCTTAATTACCAAAATACTCCTGGAAGACAACTGGTCAACCTTGGACAAGTCAAAGTCAACCCCTGACTGACCCTACTCGCCGAGTCAACCCGATGACTTGCCGAGTCCATATGCTCATAACTTCCTTCAATCAGTGACCCAACTCGTCGAGTCCAACAACTCTGAGTCCACTCGCACCCAACTCACCGAGTCATCCCTTGACTCACCGATTCATCGACTCAACCAGGAATATTGGGACTTCCTCGACAAGACTCGCCGAGTCTAAATGGACTCGTCGAGTCCAAGGCCATCTTCAACCTACTCGCCGATTTGTTCTTCCAACTCGTCGAGTTCCAGGCCATCTTCAAGCAACTCGTCGAGTCCACCCATGTGACTCGTCGAGTACAACCGGTCTGAATCCATACAGAAGCATCTCAGGCCATGCAATTGATCCAAAACATAGATCCAACCTCCTACAATCCATCCATCACGTAAAGTGGCAAACTTTACGTGAATCTAACGAGATCTAAGCCATATTCACCTTAAAACCAAGGTTTGGGACATGGTAGCTTCATTAACAACACAAGAACAGGGGCTTTAATGCTCTTAAGGTCTTCTCCACTCCATATCTGAGGTAGCAACCTCAGATCCATCCTCCAACATCAAAATGCCACATAACCAAGCACCCCACACAACCCCAAAATGAGAAACTAGGAAGATACAACCCAAGAACGAAAGTGTTACCTCCAAAAGGTGCCTCAATAGCAACCAAACTCGAATCCAAGCAAAGCCCTTTGATCCAAGCCACTTCTCCTTCAAGATCTCTTCAAACAACACCTCTCCAAGCTCTAATTTGCTCCACAAATGAACTCTCTACGAATTTAGGGTTTCTGGAACTCAAGGGGGGAATAAGGGAGGCTGTGGAGGGGTATAATGCTCTTTATATAGGGCTCAACCCCGAAAATTAGGGTTTTCTCCATACAGCACCTACTCGCCGAGTCCATCCTTGGGACTCGCCGAGTAGGCCACTTGACACGCGACCATAGCCGCGACCTGACTCGCCGAGTCTATCCATGGACTCGCCGAGTCACCCTCTAAAACTTACACTTTTAGCCCTTCAACTCTACTCTTTCGATTTCGGGATGTTACACCAGTTCAATAACCCAAAAAGTCGAACATATTAATTTTTCGAGTTATAGAACTTTGTGAAATCTCATTTAAAGATTCATGTTTAATTGACTTGAAACGTCCAATTTTTCGACTTTAACAAATATCTTTAGAAAAAAGTAGTCCGAGTATGAAATTAAATAATAGATCATAACCTGCGTCCAAAAACGTTCTTGGAAATTCCGTTTGAGGCGTGCAAGTGCCTCAATGAAGCGAAATTGTTTATGATGTTTAAAGAAAACCGATATTATATTGGTTTGGTTTTTTTTATAACAGTCGTATCTTTTACATACGAACTCTGTTTTGGATGTTATTTATATTACCAGACTCATGTGAACATGTACTATGATACTAGAGTGTTTTCTTTCCTCAAAACTGCTTAATACGAAATTTCAGTTTTTCAGATGTATTAACTAGGGTTATAGTTTGTACTTTATGATTCGTTGAGATTTTCCACAAATAGGAGTAAGATACCATCTGATATCTTACTTTAATTGTAATGGCACTATTTATTTTTTAATATATGCATTAAAGATCAATAAGTTAGGTTACAAAGACCTTCACGATGAATTGACTATCTATAGTGTTAGACCTAAATTTTGGGATGTCACACCATCCTACTTCGGAAACATCAACTGAGCCGATATCTGCCACGGATAAAGGAATCTAGGTGTTACTAATATTTATTGGTACAATGTTCTTGAGAGGCCTCAACTCGGACACCCTTATCTAACAAGAGATCAAATTTACTATGTCATTCGCGGAATGAAACATTGGGCACTCCACAACAATCTCACCATGATGCATCCTTCATATTCCAAAATTGATGCTCTGCTTCCTGCTTCAATAATTCCAAAAATTAATGATGTTCCTGGAAAAGCAGATGATCCATCGATCAACGAAGCTGAGAAGACTTACAAAGGAGATATGCCCGATTCAATGCCCATATAAGATGACCCTCCTCTGAAAAGAAGACCAAGCTACAAGAGATATTCCCACTACCGCTCCAGTCTCAGATGATCCTCCTCATGATAACCATGTCGATGATCAAGTATGGATTGATTTTTCCAATACTCAAGTCGACTTTTCAAGCCTTCTTCCTCTCAGGATCAACTTTTAATGACTTCAAACTTCCTCCTCTAAACTATAGTTTGACTTTTAGTCATATTTTGAAGAAATGGATCTTGAAGATGATGATAATGATAATACCAAAGGTTGTAATATTATCAAAGGTGGTAATGATACTAAAGGTGTTGATGAATCGAATGATGACGATGATAAGAAATTCGAAGGATCCAGTTCCAACACAGGATCCTCTGATGAACAAATTGCAGATCCTTTTTCTATTTTGGAACTCCGAGATAGTGTTGATAAATTTAATTCCATAGTTGGCACTGTCAATGCCAAAGTTGGATCACTTGTCTCCAAAATCGATTTAGTGATAAAATCCCTTTCCAAGATCAAGGTTGTTGTTCCCTATGAACTTGATAGAGCCAACCAACTAGATCAACTCATCTCTCTTCGACTAAAACATACATTGGAAGAAGATGAGCAGAGAGACAAAGTCAATATAAATCACCACATCTCCACCACGTCTACAATGCTTAATATTAACGACGTTCTGATTTTTGCTACCAATGAACTCATCAAGTATACTCATATTCATCATGAAAAACAAATTCAAAGATTGGAGTAGGAGATCCGAGAAAAAGATGGGATGGATATAATAATGCATCAAGTTCTAATCAAGGTAATTTTCTCTACCCAACACTTCACAGGCACTCTAAATTACAAGTTTGATGAAGTTTTCTTGATCATGGAAGAAACAAATGACACTCTCAAAGCCTAAGCTCCCACGACTAATGTATATGACAAGATCACCAAGCAAATTAATCTGAGCTTCCAATAAGTGTTTGAAAATGTTGATGATTTGACTCCTAATGCATTGCTTGCATCAGAAGTTGGGCCTTCCCATGCAAGAGGGTGAGAGAAAATGTTTCAATGGAAACCAAGATTGAAATTTCAACTCAGATATCAACTCATGGTGATTGGAGAAAAGAATGAAACGGGTGAAGATGAAGGAATGAAAGGATAAAGTGATGATGACAGTGATTCGGTGAGAGGTGTGCTTGCCCTTATATTCGTCAGAGAGCAACCCTCAAAAATCGTTTCAGAAGAAGAGAAACAGAAATGGTCTTCTGTTGCTTAGCCATCAAATCTTGCATAAGTGTTTAAATAAAGCATAGAAACAGAAAAGTTAAAAACAAAGCTCACTGCCAATGCATTCCGAGCTACTCAAATGAAATCCATTTCAGTTACCTCTCCTAAATATGCTTAAATCAATCATGGTTCCCCAGTCTGAAAGGATGATGATCTCCAGGCACCAAAATCAGTTCTATCAATTTCTTAAGAATCTGTGACTCCTACAGCTCGGCCACTCAATCAAGTCATGTCTAGAATGCCTATTAAATAAAAAGGCAATGAAATTCTATTTAAGTTGATCAGCTCGTTGAAATTGTCAAAAAGTATGAGGGCTGGTCACAAGATCAGACTAATGAAGCTTTTACATTCCAAAAATCACGGTAAAATTTTCATTTTTCGAAAACCACCCAATAACTATAATTGTTTAGAAAACACTATTTCCAACTGTTATAATTACAAATCCGAGTATCCCAATATCGAATATCATCAAATTTGAAGGATGTGGATGATTAAGCCTTCGACCTGCCCTAATCATTTGAACTACCTGAAAAAATAAACTGAAACTATAAGAATGAAGCTTAATGAGTTCCCCTAAAGTACCACCACACAACATTTAACATATATAATCATGCAAGTTGGGTCCAATCAACCATCAGACTGGAATACCCTTGGGTCTACAAACTCCCAGTTGGATAACCTTGGACCACAACTTCATGGTTGGATTGCCATACATACTGCATATGGGGTCCACAACCTCCTTGTTGGATAACCCTGGCTTACAACCTCCCAACTGGATTGCTATACATACTACATACTAGATTCACAACTTCCCGGTTGGATTGCCCCAAGCTTGTTGACTAGGAGCACAAAATAGTACAATCTCAACCCAATCATCCTATGTCGCTAGATAACATGCATACAACAAAACTATCATCATATAACTAGTCAACAGACTAACAGACTGATCTACATATCACTATTTAATAGCAACATCCTACAACATAACAACATCCTCAATACCATGATACATAACCCAGTGGGCCAACATTGGTGCCTTCAACCCACAAGTATACTAAGGAAAACTCACTTCCTAGTCTAAAAAGGTCACTGAATAGGACACTACTCCGAATATTAGTTCTGCTGGTCACCTATTCATCAAGTAGTGATCAAACTCAAATACAACTCAAAATACCCAAAATACCCTTAGGTAAAACTTTGTCAAATCCTGATCGATGTCAAATATCAATGAAGTCAACCGAGTTGACTCAGGATGAGTATGCTCAGTCTACTTAGCATGCACGCTTAGCGTACTCAAGGTCTAGATCCGGCTTCCAAGGGAGTGCGTATAGGGTACTCATAAGTACACTCGATGTACTCGGCCAAAAGTCACTTCCCCATTAAGTGCTTATTTCATGAAGTCCTTTCGCCCAATTGCAGATCTAGCTGGAAAATATCATTCCAAACCATAAAGTTTCCATCTTTATGAGTTTGCATGCATAGAAAATGCCAAACCAAAACCCTAACTTTTCTTAAGCTCGGAAGCTCTCTAACATTTTCATAGAAGGGAATAAGGGACAAAGATTACATTTTTATGCTTCCTTATAACTCCATAATGGATAATGTTTCCAACATTATTCATTTGAATAGTCCAAACAACCAAGATCTAGTCTTTATGTCTCAAAGGGACCCAAAAGTGCATCTTTATGAACTTAATCTGTTAGGTCCAAGTCTCCAACCTTCCTATCTGAATATAATGATGTTTAGATGCATAAAGTTTCCAACTTTATCCATAACAAGGTAACAAAATTTCAGGATCTAAATTTTATGCACTAAAATGACCAAAAGCTCATAACATCCACAACTAGCTTGATCTAGCAAATGCATCGTCAATATTCATGTATTATACCTCTTGAAGAATGATCAAGGTGAACAAAGTCTGGATCTATAAGCTCCAATGCAACCATCACTTCCCCAATCAGCTCCTTCTTCTTCAAGATGCATCAAGAACACTCCAAAGTACTTAAATATACCTTATTTTTGCTTACAAGGCTCAAACTAGGGTTCGAGTTTCAAGGGAGGGTGCTGGAGAGGTGGAGGTTGAGAATAAATAGGGTTTGGAGAAGTTAAGGAGCTTAAATAGGGCTCAAACTACAAAAATAGGGTTTAGGTTCTGATCGCGTATGTCCACCATACTCCAAGTATTCCTATTATGGCCAGCATACATCATGTACCCCCTGTGTACTAGACTAAGCCCAAAACCTTCCTAACTTCAAAACGATCATAACTTCTTCATTCCAACTCTATTTTCATTGATCTTTATTTCTACGGAAAGGTTTTTAAGATCCCCACAATATTATCTAGATATCTTGGACTAAAAACCTCCTGAACAAAAATCCATATTTCATGTAAGATGTATAAAACATTACTTTTCTCATTTTACCCTTTGCATCCAAATAAACCAAGGTCTTGGATTGCATAACCAATATTATCAACACCCAATAAGGTCTAAACCTTATTCCCTTGAATACCAAGGCCTTTAGTTGATCCATTTATTATCCACAATCTCAAAATAAGAAATTTCTAGATTGTGAGTTCTGAAACAACTCCAACATATTCCATAAACTCCCTCTAACCATTTCGAAATCAAGGCATCTTATACAGAAAACTCGAGAGACCACTTGAAACCCACAACTTCCAACAAATTTTCTTTCTCTCTTTAAATAAATAACCTAACTTCCAGAGAAAACCACACAAATCAGGAACTATCAGTACTACAACCACAAATCATCATCGTCATTATATTTCCTGAAATCAGGAACCATTAGTCTATTCTTCATAAACCTTACCCTAAGACTAATTATCATCCTTTTGTCGAACCTACCCCTAGTCCTTGACTAAGAACACCACCAAAACATGCATAAAGAATACATAAAACATACTGATCACGAATTTTGCCAAAAAACTTTAAATATACTCTTGACTTCCTGACAAGTCATCACCAACCAGCTGCCCCCACAAGCATAAGGATGGTCAATCCAAGAATTCGCATGTTGCATCAAATTCCCTCATCAACCACGTTGTACCTCCACCTGAAAAATCACTCGAGACATCAACAACAAACTTCGTGACTCAAGATTTCAGAACCAACTCCTCATACTGGAAACCAAACTCCTAATACACAACCCACTAGAAGACGAAGTCCACCATAGCAACCATTCATTAAGCGACTTCTGGTGCACAAATAATATATCATTCTAAATAACGTTTTCTGGCCACATGATCCAAACTGGCTAGTTACCAAGTCTCCCAAATTCCTATTCACAAATAATATATCATTCTAAATAACAGTACTATGCCGGTCTTGCCATCATTCCATTACTAGCCTCAAGACTCACGACCAGTGCTACCGGGTCTAAAGGTACTCAACCATCAACCCACTATCTTGCAGAAAATCTATTCAACATTCCTTTTGATGCTAACCAAACACAACCCAGTCCATACCCTTTTATCGCACATAATTCCCTCCACAACATAGGTTGTTACTAATGGAAAATTTTAGGCGAAAACATGGTCGCACACATCAAAAGAATGATACAGGCAGTTGCATTCTTGTTCCAATTCAAAGGATATAACCCAAATAAGAACCATGCATATAATTCAAACCAAGCGCTCCATTCCTATCATGTCCAACCCATATACACCCCTCATAATAATATCTAATCAACTTACCTCCATACACACCCTCAAGAAAATCCCATAACCAACCCTGGATCTACTGCAATACTCCTTCCTCAAAACCATACCCATAGGGTGTAGTACTAGTAAATATAACCGAGATAACGAACATCCACCGCTAACAGATACATTCTTATGTATGGCTAAACTAAGATTTGACATATTGATTGAAACCAATCAGATCCTACCATAACACAACTAGATCGAAAAATTTTCCAAGGAACCTCTGCCATTGATGATAAATGAATAACCAACGATTAAGCATGCATTGCGACTAATCCAATGATCCGACAAACTAATGAACAAAGCCTTTGTGGAACTAAACGTACCAAACTCTAAAACCAATCGACTAAACAACAACTGCCAATCCAAAACTATAAATATCAAACTATATAACAATCTGGCAAATCCCTTAACAATAGATACTCAATTTGAGCGCTCTAAATGCCTCCTCATTTATTCCTCGATGTTCATGAAGTGAACCACTGGCTAAAACAAGCGCCTTGTCCAAAAGCTTATTTCCGCAAAGGTAGCACTTGCATTCCCAAACACATACATATATAAAATGTGCTCTATACCCCTGACTAGAGCAAATCTTGAAACAAAGTCTCGCATACCCAAACCATGGATCCTTATGTACCATTCATCCGACACCATAAACTCAAATGGATCAATGATCCTACAAGAAGAATAGTTAGTTCTCTGCCACTTAGGATTAGAATTACCATCCACTGGTGCTACAACCAAATCATATCTCAA